CTCAAGCTGAAGTTAGGATACTTCCTGCTGCTCCTACACTTGCTTCTTCTAAGTGCTTCTAGTAATATTTGAAATAATTTATCCCATTCGTTCTAGCCTTTCCCTTTGAAGTTTCCATCTCCCTATACTTCTCCATCCAATGTTAATCTGCTATGCAAATTGCTTAACATATCTTCACTGATAAGGGTGTTTAACAGTGTGTGTGTGTATACACGCGCGCTCTTGCACACAGGCCCATCTACAATGGGACTTTAACTTAGAGCCTGGCACTGTAACTTTTCACAGAATATACTTGAGCCACAGGCATGAGCCATTGGTGCCAAACATTCAAGTTCTTGGGGACCAAATTCCTAATGAGCTACCCGTGACTTTGTCATCTCCCTCTCAACTCTGGGCCTGGGCGCTGCCCCTAAGCTCTTCAGCTCAAGGGTATTGCTCTACCACTTGAGCCACAGTGCCACTTACAGCTTTCTAGAGGTTAAATGGAGATAAAGGCTCATGGACTTTCATGTCTGGGCTGGCTTTGAACCAAGATCCTCCATTCTCAGCCTCCTGAGTAGCTAGCAGTACAGGCGTGGGCCACTGCTGCCCAGCCAGGGACACACAAGACTCAGGAGCTGAAACTGTGACTTTTTTTTAATGGGGCTTGAAACTCTGAGCTCTTCAGCTCAAGACTAGCACTCTACCACTTTGGGCCATCGCATCATTTTGGGTTTTTTGTGTTTTTTTGGGGGGTCCTGAACTCTGGGCATGGACACTGTCCCTCAGCTCTTCAGCTCAAGGATAGTGCTCTACCACTGAGCCACAGCGCCACTTCCAGCTCTTTTTCCTGCTTATGTGGTGCTGAGGAATCGAACCCAGGGCCTCAAGCATGCAAGGCAAGCACTCTACCACTGAGCCACCTTCTCAGCCCCATTGCTCTTTTGATCAAGTAAGTGCTTTTCCACTTTGAGCCACAGCTCCACTTATGATTACTTGCAGATAAGCCTCACAAACTGCTGCTGTCCAGGCTGGCAAGGATTACAGGTATGAGGCATAATACCTGGCCACATCTGTAATCCCAACACAAATTGTTTTAATTCTCCAAGTCTTGACAAAATACTTTAAGAACTTGTAGTGCTGGGATCTTATTTACATTGAACTTACACAGCTCAACCTAATTTTGTGCTGTTACTGAGGCTTGAACTTAGGCCGTGTGCTGTTGCTGAGCTTTCTTCCTGGAAGCTAGTACTCTACCACTTGAGTCACTGCCCCACTTCTGGCTTTTAGTGGGTAACCGTAATCAGTAGACTCTCATTCCCTGGCTGGCTTCAAACTGTGATCCTCAGATCTCAGCCTTGTGAGTAGCCAGAATTAACAGGTATGAGCCACCAGCATTCCAAGAACTTTTTTCAACAAAATTTGGGCGCCTGGAAGCATGGTTCAATGACTTCCTCTCCAACCTCAGTCCAGTATCAAGTGCCACCCCCAACACCCACAGCCTACAGTGTGGTCTTGGGGTCTGAGTGCCATGCTGAGATTTGGTATAGTACAGTGATCCTTCACCTATCATGGGAGCTATGTCCAAGTCCCCTTCTCGAAAGCAAAAATCTGAAGTAGGAGCACTAATCATCTCTCAGTTTACTATGGTCACTTACTGCTACTTTGCAGATTTACCAATATCAGCAGTCTGTGGAACCTAATTCCCAGGATAGGCGAGGGTCCAGTTTTTAAAACAAAAAAACAGGCAACAGAGTGAAGTTGCAGTAAGTGAACTGTGATATAAAAGGCTGCCATTTATTGGAGGTAAGAATCATGGAGTTTTCTGCCAGGGCTGGCTTTGAACCATTTCAGCCTAAGTAGCCAGGATTACAGGTACGGGCCAGCAGCGCCCAGCCCAGCTTTAGTGTTGTTTCAGGAAGTGTTCTCAGACAACAAAGGGAAGCAGACAAACTGAAGCAGTCTCTAGACATTAACACTCTTAATGAGTATGGAGTGTAACTCTTAGGGGCTACAGATTTGGGGAACAGTGTTTTTGGAGAAAAGCTTTGTTGTTTCTGTAACCTAGAGCAAATTTTTCTTTGCCAGTCCTGGGGCTTGAACTTAGGGCCGGGGCACTGTCCCTGAGCTTTTGTGCTGAAAACTAACACTCTACCACTTGAGCTGCAGTACCACTTCTGGCCTTATGTGGTACTGAGGAATTGAACGTAAAGCTTCATGCATGCTAGGTACCACTAAGCCACTTTCCTAGCCCTAGAGGAAAGATTTGAAATACAGAAATGAGAAATCAGGGCTGGGAAGGTAGCTTAGTGGTAGAGTGCTTGCCTCACATGCATGAGGCCCTGATTTCAATTCCTCAGAACCACATAAACCTAAAAGGCTGGAAGCGGCGCTGTGGTTTAAGTGGTAGAGTGCTATCCTTGATCTGAAGGGGCTCAGGGACAGCGCTCAGGCCTAGAGTTCAAGCCCCACAACCAACCCCTCCCCCCCAAGAAAAGGAATGGGAGAAGTCAGCTGGGCATTTGATGGCTCACACCTGTAATCCTAGCCACTGAGGAGGCTGAGATCTAAGGATCACAGTTCAAAGGGCAGTCTGTGAGACTGATTTCCCAATAAACTACCAGGAAACCAGAAGTGGCACTGTGGCTGAAGTTGTAGATTGCTAGTCTTGAGCTTAAGAGCTGAGGGACAGTGCCCAGGCCCAGAGTTCAAGCCCCATGACCTCCCCCACCCCCAGAAAAAGCTGGAAGTGGGGCTGTGACTCAATTGGTAGAACACTAATTTTGTTTAAGCTCAGACGGCACCCAGCCTGGACATATGTACAGTTGAGAGGGTACTGAATAGACATTCCACTAATCTTCCTGGGCCCCACTTTTCTGGGATACTGAACAGTCTTCCTGCAGACTCCTAGCCTCATTCCTCTATTCGGAGACACATTGGCACTTAACCCATTTTACCTCTTGGTCAGTAGTTCCCAGAGTAGACTCTTGCTGCCATCTGCTGGAAGAATGAGGTAAGTGACACCAACCATTTCCTGAAGGAACTTTTTCTAAAATGGCTGAAAACTCTATTTGGAAACCAGAGGCCAGAACAAGTAGAATGCCGACCTGTAATGCTGACCTATCAGACTTCACACATGCTGGATACTAGCACTCGGGACTAAGGCAAGTAGTTAACCAAGTTTTGCCAGTGATAACTACAAGTGGCAATGATCTGAGGTTTCTCTTTCTACCAAAAAAGAAAAGAAAAAAAAAAGAACCAAAGCATATTCTACAGTGGGTGAAGTCACCAGGGTCTTACTCCTATAATTGTAGCTATTCAGGCTGAGATCTGAAGATCCAGTTGGCTTGAAGGCAGCCCAGGCTGGAAAGTTCATGAGACTCTTCTGTCCAATTAACTACCCCAAAACCCCCAGAAGTGGTGCTATGGCTCAAAGTGGTATAGTACTTCCCTTGTGCAGAAGAGCTCAGGGACAGTGCCTAGGCAGAATTCAAGCACAACTGCCCCCTATGCCAACCAAGGACAAGCTGAAATCCCAGCAACCACACAACAGCAGCATAGAGGAATGTTAACCACCCTCAGCTCGCACCTTAGGTTGAGGTGACCTGAGCAAGTTATCAGCATTAAGTATGCTGAGTTATAGGTATTCAGCAATAGGTTCACAGGAAAGTGAAATTCAAGCTCTCTATTCCTTGTGGCAAAGGGAACGTAAGCCAGTAGTGGTGGTGCTTATGTCTAGCTACTTGTAACTCTTATTTGTAGGGAGGGGGAAAGCTTAGAACCTTCTAAATGACCTCTTACCAGATACCCTTCTGATTTGGTGGGACAGCAACCCGGACTAAGTTGTGGGTCCAAACCTTACAGCCACTCTAGGGAAGATGCATGGTTGTTAATAAAGGGCTGGAAAAGGCCCATTATATTAGTAAGAGTGCTATATTGTGCCTAGCACAGGAAAGACGTGTGTCACACTACTCATAGCCCAGCTATGAAACCCTTGATAAGTTTTCACCAGTACAGGCCACCAATGACTTCCTGCTCTCAGGCTGTCTTATGCCTCTGCTAATTCTCAGCAAAGGATTAATTTCCTTGGTTACTGTCCTCTGCCAGGGTACAGTCAGAAGGGCTGTGGAAGTGGAGTAACAAATAGGACGATACTTTCTCAGCTCTGCAAATCCAACCAGAATAAAACAAAATTAGCCACTTAAATTCTTAAGGTTGCCTTTTACATCTCAACTAAATATCCTACTTTTTATAGACTTGGTATGTATTCGTTAACTAGATTAGACTTTCTGGCTGTTACCTATATATGAATACAAGGCAACCTATCAAACAAATCTACCATAATGTGCCAAAATCCACTGAGTAACTTTTGCAGTTTCTTTCTTCTTGGGCTAGGTAGAGTCACTAGGCCATGACTGTAACTGTTACTGGAACTGACCGATGTCTACCACCATGCCATGCCATCTTTTTGAGTCTTGCATACTTCCTGCCTGGGCTGTCTTGGAACCTTGATCAAAGTAGCTAGTCTGACAGACAAGTAAATGTGCCACTGTACTCAGATAATGGGTGAAAATGTTGTCTCTTTTGTGTATGACCAGGCTAAACTCAAACTATGATTCTCCGAATCTCAGCCTCCCAAGTAGCTAGGGCTGTTCCATGTACACGGCCAGCAGGGTGTGCTTAGTAAACCAAACACCACTGCAGGCCAATATGCATTCCAAAGGCCCATCAGTGTTAGGTTAACCTAACAGCTTTGACCCATTCACATGAATTCTATTTGCTGGTTCCAGAACAGGCACTCTCCATATGCTTCTGAGCCTTGGCCTGTTACAAATAAGCACAGCAGTCTTCCACAAACCTTCCATGTGAGCGAGCACACAGGACGGTAGTGTTCTGTCTCACACACTTGTGCCTGGGACATGAGAGCAGCAAGTCTGGCCTTGCCGCATTCCTCAAGAAGTGTATGCCTGCCACCAGAGTTTAGGACTTTTAATTTGTCCTAAAGTCACTGAAGCAAAAAATCATGATAAAACATTCTTTCTTTTACAACCCCAACACACACAAAAAAAAAACTATTTGTAGGAAAAAAATGGTTTTGTACATGGGATGAAACAATATAAATTCAAAACTTACAGATAAGGGTTAGCTCTATCACTCATCTCTTTAAAAAGTTTATATGAATATCCAGTCAAAACCAACAGGGTATCTCTCTTGAAATGTAATCTCTATGGATTCCAAGTAGACCACAGGCTGCACACTGTCTTGGAATGTCCTCAGAAGGCTCTGTCATTAAACAGGTAACAGAGTAAAAACCTCAGAGTCCTTTCTTTCAAATGGAAGAGGGAAACACAGGAACAGAAGGAACTACTCAAACTTCGTCTTCTTTCCTTGTGGTTTGAAGTCTCCACCTCCTCCTCCTCCTCCCCTGCCTCCTCGGAAGCCTCCCCGGCCTGCAGGAAGAACATGAGGACACGGTGTCAGGTTATCTGACTTGCCCTTCCCCAGTACTGTGACTCAGAACCTGTGTCATGTGGGTTCCATGATCTGTCTTACCTCCAAAACCGCCCCGGCCACCTCGGCCAAATCCGCCTCGGCCTCCTCTGCCTCGTCCTCCAAAGCCTCCTCTGCCTCCACCTCGACCCCCGAAGCCACTTTCACCCTTGGGCTTGGCCCAGTCCAAAGTAACTTTGTTTCCATCAATTTCACAATCTTCCATGGCGTCCATGACCTCCTTGGCGGCTTCTTCACTGTAGAAGTCTACAAAACCAAACCTACAACAAAGGAAATAGCCCATTTTGAAGCAAGTACATTTATGCTGAGCAAACAACAAATCACAAAAAAAGCAGCTTTGTTCGGCTGAGAAAACATCTGCTTTCTGTGGAAAAGTATTAACAGATTCAAGAATTTCATTCTTAAATGTCTCACAGAACAGCCCAATATACCCTCAGTAAAGCCAGAAGGTAACAGAATGTCAGTTCTGTGAACTGTCTCTTCTTCTCGTGCGAATCCATAAACTGTCACCAGCTGACAGAAAGGAGCTCAATGAGAAGACACTCCAGAGCCAAGCTCACCACACACGCACAGCTTCCCAAGAGCACATCTCCCATGCCTCACCCCTTGGAGGACCCCGTTTCCCGGTCAGTTACTATTCTTGCACGAATAGAACCCTCAAATGATTCCTTTAAGGTCTCTTCAGTGGTTTCCTCAGACAGACCTTTGACAAACAGAGTTTTGGATGCATCTGTGAAGGGAAAATACATCTGTATTGGAAATCAAAATTCATGACATTTTGTATAATATCTACTCATCTTTGAGCAGGAAAGATAGTTGACAGGGCGCCAGTGGCTCATGCCTGTAGTAATCCTAGTTACTAAGGAGGCTGAGATCTGAGGATCGCAGTTCAAAGCCAGCCTGGGCAGAAAACCCCATTAAGACTCTCATCTCCAATAAAGCACTAGAAAACCGAAAGTGGCGCTGTCGCTCAAGTGGTAGAGCGCTCACCTTGAGGTGAAGAGCACAGGGATAGCGCCCAGGCAGAGCTCAAGCCTCATGACCGACCAAAAAAAAAAAAAAAAAAGGTAGTTTTGCATCTACCAGCCTCCTGCAGCACCACAAGGACCCCAGCATTAAGAGTATATATACACGACTCATGCCGTTGCAGTCTTGCAATCCTGTTCAGACCAGGTACCACAGTGGAACTGTTGCATTGAGTTGACATAGCTGGATCAGAACTTGACTATCTAGAGGAATTTTCTAGAAATTTCATCATTATCTCTCAGAGAAATCAGTCATCATATCCAGCTGTCATTGACTCAATAGCAATAGGGGAAAAGACATTCCTAGATTTGCAGGATATGTAATCATGGCATGAATAAACCAGCATCAAGGAAAATTCCCAAAGCCCAAATCTTGCCAACTGAACTTACGTCCTCTGGCATTAGGTGATCCCCTGGGTCCTTGCAACTCCAGCCTGATAGCTCTGCCCTCAATTTCCCTTTTATTGCATGAGTTTAAAGCTTCTTTAGCATCTTCAAATGAAGCAAACTCTATGAATGCATACCTGAAGACAAACAGTCAACATTTAGGGACTCTGATGCCAGCAGGAACGCCCGTCCCTCAAGCAGATTCTGAACAGAATCTTCTTGTTTCATGCATCTAAAGCCTTCTAGATTTTCTAGACTTTAAGATTCTTGCCCATAGTAGGTTAATGGTTTAAACAGTCACTTTACCCTTTAGGTTTGCCATTTGGGTTCTGAGGCACTTTGATAAAAGTTGCCTTCTCAAATACTTCCTGAAGAGTTTCTTCTGTTGCACTGTAGGAGAGGTTGCTTAAAACCAGAGTTTTTGATTCACCTGAAAAATTAAAAAAAAATTACATTTGACACCTTGCCGGTGCACAGCCATATTCATATTCATTAAGAATTCAGCATGTGCCAGGTACTGGTGGCTCATACCTAAGGACTGCCTTCAAAGCCAGGCTGGCAGCATAATCTGTGAAGACTTATCTCCAATTAGCCACTACAAAAACTAGAAGTGGAGCTGTGATTCGAAGTGGTAGAGCACTAGCCTTGAGTTTTTGAAAAGCTCAGGACAGTGCCCAAGCCGTGAATTCAAGCCCCATGACTGGCAGAAAACAACCAACTCATTTGGGTACTGGTAGCTTATATACCTGTAATCCTAGGCTACTCAGGAGGCTGTGATCTGAATATCGGGTTCAAAGCCAGTCCATGAGACCTCTCTCCAATTAACCACCTGGAACTCAAAGTGAAGCTGTGGCTCAAAGTTGGACAGCATTAGCCTTGAGGACAAAAGCTCAGATCTCAGTCTCCTGAGTAGGATTATAGCAGCCACTGGTGCCCAGCAACCGCATCGTGTCTAATGATCCCCAACTCTAAAGTACTTGCATTTCCTTTTGTGCCTGTATCAGGGCTTGAACTCAGGGTAGGTTTCATTGTCTTACTTAGCTTCCTTGCAGCAGGTGACCAATCATTCCTCCAGTCTGATACTTTCCTAACTGGAGAGTATGTCTTTCTGCCTAAATCCTAGTAGGTAGTTTTATAGGTATGAGCCACTGGCCACCCAGCCAAGTAATTTATGGTCTAGAGGTACAAATGGCTCACATCCTCAATTATAGAATCCTGTAACAAACCTACAAATTCACATCAGTTTAAATGCTATTCTCACCTTTGAATTCTTGCCTCTGTCCTTTTTCTCCAGTATAATGCAGGGCAATGTTTCGTCCATCGACTTCTGCCCCCTGCTTTTCTTCAAAGGCTTTCTCTGCATCAGCTTCTGTCTTAAATTCAATATAAGCAATTCTGCAACAAGAATGAGACATTGAGCACTCTCAACATGGAAAAGTGAAGACTCTTCTTCCCTCTGAGCATGTTCATACTTTATAACAGGATCAGATTCTAGGAAATACACTGTTAAGGCAACTGTCACAGTGTACCATACCTATCTGTGTAGAATTGGTAACACATCGAAATAACTATACACAACTGTACTCAATTTACACAGATTTACAAATAAAATTTTTGTTTTTAAGAGCTTATCTTTTATTTTCTTCGTCTGTCATGGGGCTTGATTGAACTCTGGGCCTGGGCACTGTCCCTGAGCTCAACTCAAGGCTAGCATTCTACCACTTGAGCCAATGTACCACTTCTGGTTTTCTGAGGGGTTTATTAGAGATAATACACTTTCCTGCCTGGGCTGGCTTTGAACTGTGATCCTCATCTCTCAGCCTCGCATCCTAAGCAGTTAGGATTACAGGCACGAGCCATAGGCGCCCGGCTCCCAGGCTGGCTTTGAACCAGGATCCTCAGATCTCAGCCTCCTGAGTAGCTAGGATCACAGGCATGAGATAACATGCCGGGCAAGTTTATCTTTTAAAATCATTCTATGAATTATTTTGCATTTCTTGTAGACATGAAATGTCAAAGTTACAGAAAAAACTTACTTTGTAAAAGAAGGAAGAATAGCTGAGCCCCGGTAGCTCACTCCTGTAATCCTAGCTATTCAGGAGGCTGTTGTCTGAGGATCATGATTCAAAGCCAGCCCAGGCAGGAAAGTCTGTGAGACTCTTATCTCCAATAAACCACTAGAAACCCCAAAGTGGTGCTGTGGCTCAAGCGGTAGAGCACTCACCTTGAGCTGAAGAGTGCAGGGACAGTGCCCATGACCACCCCCGCCCCCCCGAAAAAAAGGGGAAGAACTGGCATGTTGGCATATCTCAATTCCAGCACTCAGGAGGCTGAGGCAAGAATTCCAAGCCAGTCTGGACAAAACAGTTAAATGTTTTAGTGATAAAAATCACTTTCTCTTATATAAAAAATGAACTTTACAACTTTGGTGGGGGGAGTAGTGGGGAGGGGAGGTGGGGGGAGTATGGGAAGGGGAAAAGGGGAAACAAAGAGGAGGCAACAATGCCTGTTAAGAAATGTACTCGTTATCTTGCTTATGTAATTGTAACTCCTCTGTACGGTATTCTCACAATTTAAAAAAAAAATCAGTTTCTCAACAATCAAAAACATACCCTTTACTTTTCCCATCATGGCTGACTACTCTGATTTCCATGGCATTTTCAAACACTTCTTTCAAATCATCCTGAGTAACGTTGAAGGAGAGATTTTTGGCCAAAAGTGTTCTTGCTGCACGAACTACAGAAGGAAAAAACAAAACCACAAGACATAGTTCCACTGAACTGATAACCTATGACAGAGCCCTATATAACAGTAAAGACAAGCAGTCTCCCATACTGATGTTTGCAGAATGCCATGACCTACTGCAGGTATGTCTATTGTAGTGACAATTTTTACACAGCAATTTTCCACGAACACATAAAGGATATAAACCTTAACACCCTAATAACGTTTAATTGAAGAAAAGCCTTTGTATACTCCAGTACAATAGATACTGCCAAACAGCACTGAGATGATGCTGTGGAGAACACCACACCTGGCCTCGTGGCGAGCTGCAGTTACATTGCTTCATCAAGACACTATATAATACAATTTAATTACCTTTAGTGTCTGTGTAAGATATACATGAAATAGTTAAATTGACCCCATCCTAAGCCTCATTGTGCATATGAAAATAATCCAGCCTGAATCTGAAGCATTGCTAGTCAAACAATCCAGTAGAAATGCACAACTTGTGATTTTTTAAATTAAGACTGTACTTTTGTTTGTCTAACTTGGGAACTTTCCTCATGTTAGAAGGAACAACTCCAGGCTGGGCGCTGGTGGCTCACACCTGTAATCCTAGCTACTCTGGAGGCTGAGATCTGAGGATCGCAGTTCAAAGCCAGGCCGGGCAGGAGAGACCGTGAGATTCCTATCTCCAATAAACCACCAGAAAACCGGAAGTGGCACTGTAGCTCAAGTGGTAGAGCGTTTGCCTTGAGCTGAAGAGCTGAGGGACAGCGCCCAGGTCCAGAGTTCAAGACCCACGACCGACAAAAAAAAGGGAACAAGTCCAGAGCAAAGGGTAAAGGCATTTTCCCCAGAAAGCTAGTTCCCTGGCCTGTCTGTTACATCACACCAGAAGATTCTTACCTTTCTTACTGTCTCTTCCTTTGGGTTTCTCTAGTTTAATTTCATTGCCAAAGACTTTTAAGCCAGTGAGTTCCAATGCTTTTTCTAGGTCTTCAGCAGATTCAAAATCCACATAACCGAATTTCCTTTAAGGTAAAAACAGAAAAGTGAAAGACATTCACCAACACTAATGCAATGGATTAGAAAATGGATCGAGTGACAAAAGCTCCCAATAGCAGTAGCTAAGAAACTGCAAATTTCATATACAGAATGTTAACAGAAATTCACGATAAACATACACATGTAACAATGGAGCACACCAACCTTCATGAGAAAACTTAAGATAGAAACTACTCGTATCTAATATTTTCAGATTCATGAACACCAAATTTCCAAAACTGCTACTTTTTATATTTCAGTTCACAGAAATCTGAAACCTCTAATAATCTAATGATGGCAGAACTCATTTGCATATTCACATTTAAGGCAATCAGATGAACAGGAAAAAGCAGTAGGTGATTTCTGCGTCCCTGTGTAACTCACCTGTTTGTACCAGTTCTGACATCCACAACAGTAAGATCATTTTTAGCAAAAAGTTCACTGATGGCAGCTTTTAGGTCTGGAACAGATTTGTTTGGATTCAGGTTTCCAATAAACAGATTAAAAGGTGTGGTTGGTTCTGAGCCTGTATTTAAAAAAAAAAAGAGCTGTTGTTACTGTATTTTTAACCCTGATAACTTAGAACAATAAAATTCCCACTGACAGCACATCAGCATAATGCAATGTAACATCAGGTTTCAGTATTAAGTCCCTTTTGTCACTCATCATTTGTGCTCTACTTCAGCTCTTCCTGTAATCCCCTTCTGTGATAATTACCTACCTTCCACTTTCTGTTTCTTGGCTTCAGGAACTTCCTTCTGTTTGCTCATTTCCTTCTTTCTTTTGCCAGGTGCTTCTTTAACAGGCTCTGTGCAATGAAAAATCTGTCACTCATGAGCAGCCAGACACTCCTCCCTCTTTAACTCAGAGAAGGGCAAGGTGTCTCATACATGTAGTCTTAGCTACTCTGGGAGACTGAAGAATTAGTTTGAGGCTAGCCAAGTTAAAAAAAAAAAAGATTCTTCTTCAAATATTCACAATAACTTGGGAATAGTGGTGAGCCTAGTCTCATCCCAGAAATAGGACCACACCCATGATTGGCCTGGGTAAAAAGTGAAATCCTGCAGGGAGATGATGGCTCATGCCTATAATCCTAGCTACTCAGGAGTCTGAGATCTGAGGATTGTGGTTCAAAGCCAGCCCGGGCAAGAAAGTCCACAAGACTCTTATCTCCAATAAACCACCAGAAAACGGGAAGTGGCGCTGTGGCTCAAGCAGCAGTGTACTAGCCTTGAGCTGAAGAGCTGAGGGATAGCACCCAAGCCCAGAGTTCAAGCACCACACCGACAAAAAAAAAAAAAAAAGTGAGATCCTAACCCAAAAAATAATGAAAAGCCAAGAGGGCTATAAGGGTATGGCATCAAATGGTGCAGTGCAACATTAGACTATGAATTGACAAGGCCAAATGCCCTGTATCAAAGTAAATTAGAACTGATACTACCTTCTTCCTCTTCTTCCTCATCTTCATCTTCCTCTTCTTCCTCATCATCGTCTTCCTCTTCATCCTCGTCATCATCATCATCTTCATCCTCTTCTTCATCTTCTTCCTTAGCCACACTCTTGGCTTTTACAGGAGCAGCTTTTGCAGGTGCTTTCTTTCCTTTAGCTGGTACAGTATCCATAGCTTCTTCCTCAGAATCTGAAAAGACACCAAGTCAAAAGATCTATAGACAGGGGCTGGGAGGAAGGTGGCTCAGTGGTAGAGCGCTAGTCTTAAGCTGAAGAGCTGAGGGACAGTGCCCAGGCCCAGAGTTCAGGCCCCATGACCGGATTTTTTAAAAAAAAATCTATAGACAAACCTGAAGAAATGGCAACACTGAACTCTTACCATGCTATTTATTACATGTGGTAATAACTTAAGAACTGCTAGACACCAGAGGCCCATACCTGTAATCCTACTTCTCAGAAGGCTGAAACAGACAGAAACTCCAAGATCAGTCCTTTTCCACACTGAGTAAACACATTTAACAGTGACACTCAGAAGACATGTTGAAAATGAAGGGCTGGGAAGGTGGCTCAGTGGTAGAGTGCTTGCCTTGCATGCATGAGGCCCTTGGTTTGATTCCTCAGCACCAGCTTAAGCAAAAAAGCCAGAAGTGGTGATGTGGCCTAAGTGGTACATCACTAGCCTTGAACTGGAGGACAGTGCCCAGGCCGAGAGTTCAGGCTCCACAACCAGTACCACCCCCCCCCAAAAAGAAAATGAACTGTACAACTTGTATATGGAGACCAGAGGGAAAACAGTGAAGGAAGGGTAACACTGACCCACCAAAGAAACTGGACTCTTTCCCTAACTTATGTAACACTCCTGCAGCTTTATAATAACAATTTGCTTTAGTCCTTTCTAAGCACTGCTGGACAGTGATGTACCTTGCCATCACAGTTATGTGAAGAGTCAGTGATTGGTGGATGACAGGTCCAAGTCAGCCAAAGAGCAAAGTCTAAGATTCCATCCCTCTCAATACAAGTTAGATATGTTTGACACACTGTCAACCCAGTTTAAAACAGTTACGTGCCAATATAGTCATGTGCCTAGGCAAAGCAAGACCCTATCTCAAAAATAACCAAGTCACACAAGGGCAGCATATGGCCCTGTATTAAAATCCCACGATTGCCAAATAAAAGGATGCTTTGCTTGCCACTGGGTCTCCCTTATGTACATAGGTATATTCTGCTTTGCTTAGAATAAAAGCTGAGAAAATATCGTAAAGGATTATAATTTTAACACAGGTGTCTGATGGCACGTCCAATTGTTACCTCAAAATCTCCATTGAAATTACCCTTCATGAGCTGGATGCAGGTGGCTCAGGCCTGTAATCCTAGCTTCTCAGGTGACTGAGTAGGCAGGAAACTCCATGAGACTCATCTCCAATTAACCATCAAATATCTATTTTTTTAATTATTTTTTTCAAACCCGTGTGTCAAGGGCTGACTTTCAATAGATCGCAGCGAGGGAGCTGCTCTGCTACGTAGAAACCTCGACCCAGAAGCTGGTCGTCTATGAATGGTTAACCACCAAATATCTAAAAGTGGAGCTGTAGCTCACATGCTAGAAGGCTAGATTTGAGCTCCCACCCCCAAAAAAGCTCAGAGACCTGGTGCTCAGGTCTTCGAACCCCAGGACCTGAGGGGGGAAAAAGATATAGTCCTATATGGAAGTGGGTGTGGCTTATGTGATAGAATGCAAGGGGGAGTGAAAGCTGACAGCAAGATAAAGCACTGTTTTAAAGCCTCAGTACTACATTCCCTAGAAACAGAAGCTCAAGAACTTGCAAGAGAACTCACCATCCTCCTCCTCCTCCTCTTCATCCTCCTCCTCTTCATCCTCCTCATCCTCTGAGGCAGCAGCAGCAGCTGTTTTCATCACTACTGGCTCAACTTCATCCTCTTCTTCATCCTCCTCCTCTTCCTCATCACTGTCGTCCTCTTCCTCATCATCCTCCTCTTCCTCATCATCTTCCTCCTCCTCTTCACTGTCTTCCTTTTTGGCGTTTTTACCATTTTTTGCTCCCTTGGCAGGAGTGACAGCACCCTTTTTACCAGGAGTTGCTACCACTACTTTCCCCTGTGTGGCTCCCTTCTTGCCAGACACTGCAACTGCTTTCGCTGGTGTAGCGGTCTTCTTGGCTGGGGTGGCTGCCGCCTTTTTGCCTGGAGTAACAGCTACTTTCTTGGCAGGTGTGGCCACTGCAGCCTTTTTTGTTTGGGCAACAACCTTCTTTGCTGGAGGTGTAGCCTTCTTGCCTTTCTTCTGCGGAATGACAACCTTGAGGATAAACATAAAATACAAGTATTTTTGGTCTCTTCTAGTGTGCTTGCCTAGCATGCATGAAGCCCTGAGTTCAAGCCCCAGGACTGGCCAACCAAAAAGAAAAAAAGAACATGATCCTCTAAGACCATGTGTGTCAAGACACACCAGGCAGGTGTCAAAATACATTGCATCTATGGATGGGGGGGAGACACTAAAATCTAGAATCTGTGTATGTCCTTGATGTCTCTGGCAAAAACCCCTTTTAAAAATCCTTCTGAGCCATACCTCTGAATTCCACCACCTCATACTTTTAAACCTCAGCTTAACATATGAAAATGATGTCAATAGTACATGTTACTTCAGAGACTACAAATCCAGACTATTCAATACCTTGCAAATTAAAACTTTCTCAGTGAGATTCATAACTGAGATACAGTTATGCTGGAGGTGTCCCTAAAAATTAATTCAAGGAAAAAAAGCACTGGTTGCTCACACCTGTAATCCTAGCTACTCCGGAGACTCATATCTAAGGATTGGGGTTCAAAGCCAGATAGAGAGGGAATTCCATGAGTCTCTTATCCTCAATTACCAGCAAAATGCCAGTAGTGGAACTGTAGCTCATGTGACAGAGCACCAGCTCAAGTACACCAAAAAGTGTGGAGATGTGGCTTAGGTGATACAGTGCTTTCCTAGAAGTATAAACATTGGGCATATGTCAGTACTGCTCAAAGAACAAATTCTTAAGAATTAAAAATCAATGAGTGAGCTGATTTAGCCTACATTGTTCTAGCAAACAGGAAGCGAAGCTCAAACCAAGTACTGTGAAATAATTAAAACAAACAGCAGGCTGAAGAATCTTTTGCAAAATTATTAACCTAATAAACACTATCACTTACCTAATATACTAAGTCCTGCTCAATGCTTATTTTGGCCATTCATGGTGGCACACTCCTGTAGTTCTAACATTCAGAAGGTTGACGCAGAAGTTCTAGTTTAGTGTGAGCTATAGAGCAAGACTATGTCTCAAAAAACAAAACCAAATAAGGCTTTTTGTCAACCCACAAGATCGTTTGATCAGTGTTACTAAGATTGTATTTAAAGGTAGCTCAGTACAGTACTTGCCTAATATGTACAAGGCCCTGGGTTAATCCCCACCACCAGAAAACTTAATGACATGTGAAAACTGGCATGGTGTAATCAGTTACTAGAAAGTATCACACCAACCTTCACGGCACATAAAAGGAGAAACTGCTCCCAGATCTTATGTCTCCCATATACCAACCCAAATGCTATCAATATGTCAAGTGTCACTCAACTTTTTCAGTAAGTCTAATGCCAGAACAATTTTTTTGGTAAGTTTGCAGAAAAGACCACCTGTTTTCATCAATTGGGTTCTAATAATTCTGCAGTAAGTGGAACAAAATTACCTCTTCTCCACTGCTTTCATCTTCTTCATCTTCTGACATTTCTTCATCTTCACTATCTTCTTCTACCTCCTTCGGGGGAGGAGCCATTTTCTTGGGGTCACCTTGATTTTTACCGGCCTGGAAATGGACATGTAGAACATCACACCTCCACTCACCATTTCAGGCCTCCACATTTTGTGCTATCATCTCCATAGTAAAATGCAAATCACCTCTTTTTATTAGAATCCACCTTCCGCGGCTAAATAACATTATAAATTACAACTCCTGTGGCCAGTGCGCATATTCTTGTCAAGATTCTGCAAAACAAACCCACCACCAGCTTTGCTTTATTGGCACCTTGAAGAGACGATGTCTCTTCTCTTTACCTTGACTAAAGACACTGGCTTTAGTAATCAACTAGTTGCGGTGCTTCAGCTCGTTCTGTACTCTTGCCCGGACTACCTTCGTGGCAACTTTTAAAAAAATACGCTCCTTCCATAGACTAGAATCGTCTCAAACTTTTTCCTCCGGCAGGCGAGCCGCCCCGCCTCCCGAGAGCCGCGAGGGGGCCACGTGGGGTTACCAGGTAAGCCACCATGTGCCCGCAGCGCAGCACTGCCAGGCCCGCCACGTGCAGGTCCTTCCCGCCGAGCTGGAGCGGTGGCGGAGGCCGCGCAGCCGCCCTCGGGGCCGCCTCACTCTTCCCCTGCCCACACAACCGGCCTCTCGGCGACTTGCGACCCGCGCGGCGCGGCCCACGTGGCTGGCCGCGCGCGCGACCACGTGCGCCAGGAGGCGGCGCCCGGCTCACGCCGGTCGCAGGAGTTTGGCCTCATCACCGCGCCCCGAGGCCCGGCGCCCGCTTCCCCGCGCTCCGCACGGAAACCGCCTCTGTTCGCCTTCACTAAACACCCGCCCCGCCACCCTCCGCACAAGCCTCAGCCCTTCACCTCGCCTTCAAGTAAACCAAAAGCCGCGAGACCTCCCGCTAATCGCGCGAGACTTCCTGCAGCATGGCGCCCTCGGAACGCGCCCGGGACTGCGCGCAGGCCCTCCTCCCGCGGCACCGCGCGCGCGCCTTCCTCAGAGACTAGGCCTCGACGTTCGTGCTCGCGCTCAAGGCCTCTTACCTTTGCAAGCTTCACCATGATGGCGGGTTACGACCGCGGAGGGTGTGGGGACGAGTAGTGCAGATGAGGCAAGGGGGATCCGAGAGACGTTGATGGCCGCCACGGATAATGGAGATGCCGGAGCGCGAACGACTGACTGCCAGCTACCGCTCGCGTCTGAGGCGAAAGACTGAGCCTGCCCAGTAATCGCCTCTGGAAAGGCGACGACGGCGCCCTCGTGACTCCTCCTCGACCAATCAAAGCTCGCGTCTGTTCCTTGAGCCAATCGCAAGCCTCTAACCCGCGACCGAGCGGGGCGGGCTGGGGCGACGGGGAGGGGGAGGAGCCAGGCGGTGGCGCCCTGGGGGCGGGACTAGCTTTGTGCGAAGCCGGCGCTGACTGGCTCGTGGGCGCGCCGGTCTCGGAGCGTTCCTGCGCTGCGTGTTCTCCTGGCGCCTGCGCCGTGGAGCGGTCGAGTTTGGCGCCGGCTGGGTGCAGTGCGCGGGGGCGTCGGGGCGGCGCGATCTATCTCCAGTCCCCGACTGCCGCATGGTGGTGTAGACCCAATAGCCTTGGAGTTTCCCGGACGCTCTACGGCGGCCTCCTGGAGGCCCTCGGAGTGCCGGAAAGGGAGACCGCAGTGTGCACGTTGGCCCTTGCGGAGGCCCTGCGGGCGTGTCGGGGGCGAGGAACCCACCCCCACCCCCACCCCGCCGCGGGTGACTCCTCTCGGGCCGCGTGCCCGAAGCTCTCCCCTGAAAGCCCTGAATAAAGGCAGGCGATCACCCTTGTGAGCAGTGCACCGCAAACCCGTTGAGCTCAGGTGGCCTCACGGAGTAGGTATTATTCCTGGCGGGTCGCAGGCTTGGCGGGGTAACTTGGGGGTGCCAGGGTGATCGCGTGATGGGGAGAAGTACTTGGCGGTCTGGCCGCTCACAAGTTTCCTCCTAGGTGCGTGGGACTCACCAGTCCGTTAAGAAGCGGTGGCTCCAAAGCCTTTAGATCAAGGGAGTAAAGGAAGCCAGGGGCCCGTGGCTCACACCTGTAATCCTAGCTCCTCCAGAGGCAGAGATATGAGGATCTTGGTTCAAAGCCAGCCTGGGCAGAAAACTATTGTGAGTTCCAGCCCCCAATACTGGCACACACACACACAGAGAGCAACAAAGCCAAAGGAAAGGCCCCCTTCAATATCGGGGGAAACACAGTGTTGACTCGGTAGGCAGTAAACAAAGGAAAGAGCTTTCAGCAAAGATGGGGGTCAGCGTTGAGGTGGACGTTCCTAGCAAGGGCCACATGCCAGAGTCCCTGCGTGAGTGGAAACTGTAAAATTAGTAATCCTAGCTACTCAGAAAACTGGCTTAAAGGATCTCAGTTCAGAGCCAGCCCAGGCAGTAAAATGCCAGGCTGGACGTATGGTTCAAGTTGTAAAGCACCACCCCTAATGAAAAAGCTAAGTGAGAGTGCAAGGTTCTAAATTCAAGCCTTGGTACCTGTTAGGTTTTTAGAAAGAGGTAGCCGAGTAAGAACAGCAGAACCTTACAGTACCCACAGGGGCTGGTGGCTCCTGCCTATAATCCTAGCTGAGATCTGAGAATCAGAGTTCAAAGCCAGCCTGGGCAGGAAAGTCTGTGAGTCTCATTGCCAATTAACCACCAGAAAACCAGAAGTGGCTCTGTGGCTTTAAGTGGTAGAGCGTGAGCCTTGAGCAAAAGAGCTCAGGGACAGTGCCCAGGCCCCATGTTCAAGGCCCATGACTGACCAAAAAAAAAAACAATCCCCACTGGCCTATGAGTGGGAAGACATAAAATGTTAGCTCATGCTTTGTGAACTTGGGTTTCAGTGATTTTCCTCTATTAAATGATGGCAATAATCGAATGGCCATGCCTAGATCCTAAGACAAAGACAGATCAGTTCCGCATCTTCTAAGGTGCTAACTCCTAAGAATTAGAAAAGGAATGGGTTGCTTAAAAGCCCAGAACCTGGGGCTGGGAAGGTGGCTCAGTGGTAGAGCGCTTGCCTTGCATGCCTGAGGCCCTGGGTTTGATTCCCCAGCACCACATAAGCAAAAAGAAAAAAGCCAGAAGTGGCGCTATGGCTCAAGTGGTAGAGCCCTAGCCTTGAGCTGAAGAGCTGAGGGACAGCGCCCAGGCCCAGAGTTCAGGCCCCACGACCGGACCCAAAAAATAAATAAATAAAAGCCCAGAACCTTATGGAAGGCCATCCAGTCGGATTGTCCAGCCGCCAGGGTCTGAGCACTGGGCCAGACTCAGCCAGCATCCAGGAAAGGAAGCTCCAGGTGTAGCTGAGCAAAGGCAGCGGTGCGTTCCCCAGTTGGCCTTGTCAGGGCTTCACCACCTCAGCCAGGCTCTAGCCATTTTCATTCAACCACATCTATTCTCATCCACCTGTTTTCCCTACCTCCTCCCACGAATACCCTCCACGCACACACTCCAGCTCCTGTGGTACTTTCCTGTCTTTTTTTTTTTTTTAAGTATATACTAATTTTACCAAGGGAGTTAAGTGTGGTATTTCAGATATGCATATATTATAGTTTGGGCAGAATAACCTCCTCTCTATTGCTCTTTCCTCATCCTGTCCCCCTATTAGTCAACAGTTTTCGGATTCCTTATGCCATCTTCACATAAGGCCACTTTGCAGGGTCTAATTAATGTAGCCCAGAAAGCTTTGAACTCACAATGTCACTGGGTAACCCCTCATTGGCTGGCCTTAAATGCACCTTTCTATGTCAAGCTCAGGAGTTCTGGATTACTGGAATGCACTATCATGGTCAGCTCCAACATCCGCTTCTTGTTGCTACCCCAAAGGACACTTTGTAGATCTTATCACTGTTCCCTTCTGTGTGTGGCCTCTCTTAGCCTCCCCCTCCCTCCTCCTGGCCTGACTTCTTCCTTTCTCCTCCCTCAATGTTCTCACCCTGGGTTACCCCTTTCTACCTGTGTATACCATCTGGATATACCCCCACCTGTTGCTCCTCCCCTGAGGGGCAGCTGCAACTCCTTTGCAGTGGCTTCTCTGCCATCTGATGGCACCCAAATCATAGCCTCCTGTAGCCCCTTTCTTCCTGTCTAACCCAGAGGCCTGTAAAAGCTCTTCTTCCTCATTCAGAGTATCTTAGCTTGAACCTTCCTCCACCCTTGAACTGGGCCTTTTGGGCTCCAATAACACACTGCTATCAGCTTTCTTGGATGAAAGCCCGGAGATGGACTTAGTCCATTCAGACTGTTATGACAAAGTACCTTAAAGTGGGTACAACAGAAATTTATTGCACACAGTTCTGGGGCCTAGAAAATCCAAGGTCACGGTATATGTGAGGGCCAGTCCTTAGAGAGGATGCTTCACCCAATGGGAGAAGCCAACTGCTTGCCTCAGGCCTCTTCTGCAAGGGCCCTGGTCTCCTAATGGCCTCACCCCTTAGCACTGTTGATAGGGGTTCATGTTTCAGCACATGAATTGTGGGGGGCACTAACATTCGGACCACATCACTCACTAGTCTGTGTTCTCCATTCCCACAGTCAGGTTTCCTCAGGTCCAAATATCTTTGGAGTAAGACCTCTACTTTTCTACTGCTTCTCTTTTACTTCAAGCCTTCACCCTTACCTGCCTAGGTTCATGAAGCAATTCTGCCGCTAGTCTAATCTACTCTGCCATAGCCATATTCTTCTAGTTTAGGGATTCAGTGGCAGGATAGAGCTGGGCACTGGTGGTTATCCCTGCAATCCTAGCCACTCAGGAGGCTGATCATGGTTCAAAGCCATCCTGGGCAGGAAAGTCTGTGAGACTCTTATCTCCAATTAACCATCAAAAAGACAGAAGTAGGGGCTGGGAAGGTGACTCAGTGGTAGAGCGCTTGCCTTGCATGTATGAGGCCCTGGGTTTGATTCCCCAGCACCACATAAGCAAAAAGAAAAAAGTCGGAAGTGGCACTGTGGCTCAAGTGGTAGAGCGCTAGCCTTGAGCTGAAGAGCTGAGGGACAGCGCCCAGGCCCAGAGTTCAGGCCCACGACCGGACCCAAAAAAAAAGAAGTAAAGCTCAAATGACAGAGCACTAGCCTTGAGCACAAAAGTTCAAGGGCAGCACCAGTCCCCGAGTTCAAATCCCAGGACTGGCACTCTCGCGCACACGCACACACAGAAAGGATAGACGGTCTTAGCTCAGGAGTAAGAATCCTTCCCTACAGAGGGGGGAGGCAAGCTGGGCACCGGTGGCTCACGCCTGTAATCCTAGCTACTCAGGAGGCTGAGATCTGAGGATCATGGTTCAAAGCCAGCCTGGGCAGGAAAGTCTGTGAGACTCTTATCTCCAATAAACCATTAGAAAACCGGAAGTGGTACTGTGGCTCAAGTGGTAGAGCGCTAGCCTTAAGCTGAAAGAGCGCAGGGACAGTGCCCAAGCCCAGAGTTCAAGCCCCACGACCAACCAAAAACAAAAAAAACAGGGGAGGCAGGCAAGGTGCTTGATACAGCAAAAGACATCAAAAGCTCAGTCATTAAAATAATACTTAAGGGGCTGGGAAGGTGGCTCAGTGATAGAGCTCTTGCCTTGCATACCTGAGGCCCTGGGTTCGATTCCTCAGCACCACATAAGCAAAAAAGAAAAAAAGCCGGAAGTGGCGCTGTGGCTCTAGTGGTAGAGCTCTAGCCTTGAGCTGAAGAGCTGAGGGACAGCGCCCAGGCCCAGAGTTCAGGCCCCACGACCGGACCAAAAAAAAAAAAGACTGCTGTTCTACCAATTTGAACCATGATCCTCAGATCTCAGCCTTCTGAGTAGCTAGAATTACAAGGCAAGCTGGTGCCCAGCTTAGTATGGAATTTTTTTTTGTTGGTCGTGGACTTGAACTCTGAGCCTGGGCACTGTCCCTCAGCTCTTCAGCTCAAGGCTAGTGCTCTACCACTTGAGCCACAGCACCACTTCCAGCTTTTTTGTGTATTGGTGCTGAGGAATCAAACCCAGGGCCTCAGCATATGAGTCAAGCACTCTACCACTGAGCCACCTTCCCAGCCCTAGTATGGAATTATTATTGCTCTGTATATCCTATGCCATAGTATTCAGTCTTTTTTTTTTGGGGGGGGGGGGGGGTTGTTAGTCCTGAGGCTTGAACTAAGGGCCTGGGCACTGTATCTGAGCTCTGAGCTTATTTTGCTCACGGCTAGTGCTCTACCACTTTGATCCACAGCACTAC